TGTGGGGCAGCAGAGATAACTTACAATTTTCAGATCATCTACTTTCAAGTTGGAATCTACTGACAGCAACTTTTAATGGTAAGTTCCAATGAGCATTAAATTAATTTGCAGGTTTCACATGTGTTCTTAAATCCTATAAGTAACATGATTCCTCTTCTCTTTTGCCCAGACTTAAATTCTACAGCTTAAATGGTAGCTCCAGAATTTCATAGGGAAGACAATTTGTAGGAGGAACAAATCTCCTCTCTTAAGTCTTCCTTTGTAACCAACTAATTAAATGTATGATCACTTCATACAAGACTGAATGAGGTGAGAAAACATCAACTGTCCTTAACAAAAAAGAGATTGTAACCCCCAATCTGGATGAGAAACAAAAGATCTCAGAGCAACTTTGACTGAGTCCTTTACTAAAAGATTTTTAGTCTCCTCAAATCCCCCCATAAAAACACAGGGAGCAGCTAGGATAGCAAAACCAGGCCAATGTCTATAGCAGAACTGAGTGATGAGTTCTTCCTAACAAACGCCAAAATGCAAGCAAGTGGGGACACACCACTGACAGTGACAAGATCATCATGGTAGAAGCAGGGAGCAGAGAAGTAATGTGTCAACCTGAGAACAGCAGCTGAAACCAGGAAGTGAGCACAGTCCCAGAGAAGACAAATGCAAGAGGTCTGCAATAGAGTCCAGAGGCCTAGAACATTCTGGGGTCCAGGAACTCTTAAAAATCATCATCCTTGCCCTAACCCAGGGGTGGGCAAACTTTTTGACTCAAGGGCCACAATGGGTTCTTAAACTGGACCGGAGGGCCGGAACAAAAGCATGGATGGAGTGTTTGTGTGAACTAATATAAATTCAAAGTAAACATCATTACATAAAAGGGTACGGTCTTTTTTTTTTTTTTTTTTTTAGTTTTATTCATTTCAAACGGGCTGGATCCGGCCCGCAGGCCGTAGTTTGCCCACGGCTGCCCTAACTGGTTTGGCTCAGTGGAGAGAGCGTCGGCCTGTGGACTCAAGGGGCTCAGGTTCGATTCTGGTTAAGGGCATGTACCTTGGTTGCGGGCACATCCCCAGTAGAAGGTGTGCAGGAGGCAGCTGATTGATGTTTCTCTCTCATCGATGTTTCTAACTCTCTATCCCTCTCCCTTCCTCTCTGTAAAAATCAATAAAATATATATTTTTTAAAATAATCATCTTCATCCAAAGCTCCCTTTAAGCCAAATACACTAAAATGAAATGACTGAAAACAGAATACAAAATATACAGGACAATGAAAACAATGACAGAGACAAATCAAAGTCTAATTAAAGGTGGGAGAGAAAAACAGAGCCAGGAGAGTTCAGAAAATGAACTGCTAAATTTTTTTAAGACTTCCTAAAAAACATGTAAAATAAGAGCTCTAAAACACTGAAATTAGAAAAACTATTCTAAATCAAGCCTCCCTTCTAAATAGTCAGGAAAATTAATTCCACATCAAAATAAACAAAAAAAAATTGAGGTCCAACTGATGAAAACATAATATATATTAAAAGAGAATAAGAAGCAAAATAGCCTGGGCTGTGTGGCTCAGTGGTTGAGCATTGACCTATGAACCAGGAGATCACAGTTCGATTCCTGGTCAGGGCACATGCCTGGGTTGTGGGCTTGATCCCCAGTGGGAAGTGTGCAGGAGGCAGCCGATCAATGTTATCAATGTTTCTTCTCTCATCATTGATATTTCTCTCTCTCCCTCTCCCTGCTTCTCTGAAAAATAAGAAGAAGAACAACACCACTACCACCACCACCACCACCACTAAAGTCAGTGAAAACAGGCTAAAAAGACATGTTACCAAAAGAGATGAAAAGTGCTAATCTAATATTTCAAAACAAGTTAAAATACATGAAGGAAATGATATGGTACTATTAACCATAAACCATCATGAGAAAAGCTCAAAAATGAAGTGACAGAACTCAGAAAAGGTTAGAAACAAAGGCAAAACAGTTTTGGAAATGAAAATTAGAAGGAATCCAAGAGCAAATAAACAATAAATTATGCCTTCAGAAAAACAAGAGGAGGAATTTTTTTAATTAAAAAGAAATGAAAAGTTCAAGAAAAAGTAGCATAGTGACAAAGAAGATCCAGCATATGTGTAACAGGAGGCGCTAAGAAAAAAAAACCAAAGCAACACTTAGTGTGGTACACTGTATTGGAAGAGTATTGGGAAATAGAAAAAATAGCTCTCCTGCACTTCTGGTGGGAGTATAACCCTGGAGAACAACAAGCAAGATAGCTATCAAAATGCACTGGACACAGCCCTGACCATGTCATTCCCTATTCAGGAATCCTTCCAGCACATAGATTCATATATCTGTACATAGATCTACATACCAAAAAACAAAAAAAACAAACAAAAAAACACAACTAAGGCATTGCTTTTAGCAGCAAAAGAATGGATGCAACCTAAATGTACATCAACAACAACAAAATGTATGGCACAGCCAAACAATGGAATTTCAAAGAAATGTAAAAGGAGGCAAATATCTCTAAGAACAACTCCCAAGATGCAGTATTACACAAATATAAATGGGGCAGGATGCGCACAACATACTTTAAAAAAAAATGCTATACAAATATGCACAGAATTTCTCCAGAACATAAAGGGTAAAAAGAAAACCATTTTTTACTTTTCACCCTTTTATACTATTTGCATTTTTTATCAAGTGCATTTATCACCTTTTCAAAATTAAAAAAACAAAAACAAAAAAAACAAACCACCACACACTTTTTGAAGATGTCCAGACAACTAAATATTTAGGCATAACACAACTAAATATTTAGGCATAAACTGTGGGGGACATTCTCAATTCCAACCTCAGTTATATCCAGTAATATTCTCTGAACCTGGTGCCTGTGCTGAACACTGGGAGTTTCTTCCACCTTCATCCTCAGCAACTGCTCCAGAGCACCTGTCAGGATAAGGAAATAAGGTGTCGTGCTAAATGTGTGTCCTCTGAAGATGACCTCTAAGTCACCTGGTGGTTAACTGGTGGTGAGTTTAAAGATCAAAGCTACTCATGCCATAATCTCAGTCTTCTTTTTACCAAATTAAAAACCAAAGCAAAAATTATTAAAGGGATACACTGAACTCTGTAATGAAGGCGGTAGTCCTCGGTTAGATACCACCCAACTGATCTTTGGCTTGATAGATTTAAAACATTTTAGAGTCACAGTCTGCTTTAGAATTTAATTAAAAACAAGCAAACAAACAAAAAACCATGGACCTTTTCCCTGGAAATTTGCACAGACAAAACTCTACCAAGTTTCACAGGCTTCACCAATACCAGTGTAAGAGCCCTAATTTATAGGGCCATGAGGGCACCAAAGGAAAGCTCCCACCTCTCCTACAGCACACTGTGGCTACCTGACCAAGTTTGAGCCTATGGAGCATGAGCTCAGACACGGTGCATGGCGGCGCCAGCACCTCATCAAAAGAAAGGTGGCAGTGACCATGGCCCTCCTGCTGCTGCTAGACTCTAGGGATGAGGATGGACAGGCGCTAGAGCGTTGGAGCAAAGAACAAGAAGCAAATAGCCTGGGTCCTCACATCTATGGAGCTGCCGCGCCTCCTGGACTGCCTATCTCAGGCTTTCTCATAAGAAAGGAAAATAAACCACCACCTGCTTTAAAACAATGTATATTGTGCAGTCTGTCACATGCAGCCGAGCTTAACCTAAGTGATACACCTGAAGCCCATTCATGATGGCCCTGGATCCATAGCTTCCAGGTTAAATACCTATCTCCCATAAAGGTCTAGTGCAGCGGTTCTCAACCTGTGGGTCGCGACCCCTTTGGTGGTCGAACGAGCCTTTCACATGGGTCACCTACGACCATCCTGCATATCAGATATTTACATTACAATTCATAACAGTAGCAAAATTACAGTTATGAAGTTGCAACGAAAATAATTTTATGGTTGGGGGTCACAACATGAGGAACTGTTTTAAAGGGCCAGAAGGTTGAAAACCACTGGTCTAGTGGAAAGTTTTCAGGGGCCTTTTTCAAGCCTTTTCTTGATTTCTGAAAGCTCTGCAAGTGGCTCAAGAAAATACTCCAAACTCACCATAAAATCCTGAATCTTAACCTCTTCCAAATGAGGACACCATACGTTATCCAAGTTGTTTACTCAAAACGATTCTCTGGCCAGGATAAAGAGTCATTTAAAATTCTGCTAACACTGAAGGCTTGAATAGAAAAGTAGGGCAACAAGCCCAAGAAAACTGGAACAGAGCAATATAAGCCGTTGCCATTTTGGCAGATTAAATTTGCCAGTTCTCAGAAGTCCTGGGGACAGTCCAGTCTTAATATAATAAAACAACTGGACTGAGATTAATGTTCAATAATGTCTTTAATGGCAATGACTAGTTAGAACCCTGCTTTAAACTAACGTATTTTGGACTCTGTCACATGAGCCACCCTGAAGCCCATTCATGATCCAAGGCTTCCAGGTTAAATAAATGTCTCTCAGAGAAGGCTAGTGGAAAGTTTTCAAGGGCCCAATTCAAGCTTTTTCCTGGTTTCTAAAAGTTCTACAAGTGGCTTAAGAAAATACCCCAAACTCACCATAAAACCCTGAATCCTAACCTCTCAAGTGGCTGAAGAGAGCCTCTTCTAGGGGGCACATGAAAAAAGAGCCCACCAACCGAATCAACAACCTAAGTGCTCAATCTTAGGGGAGTGGTAAATGAAAGTACACCCTATTATAAAATATTGCAGACACTAATGTCAGTGAGTGGTTTGATTGCATGAGCCATAATAGAAAGGTCTCCTGAATATACTAACAGAAAGGAACATAAAAGGAAAATTGCAAAACAGTATATGATCCCTATTCTGTTTTCTAAAAATGCATGTATGTATAGTCACATATCCATGTGTGTCTGAAATGAGCTGGCTTTCATTCTTGATCCTTCAGGATTGTTGAATTTTCTATAAGCCCATATTCATTTATCACCTGTGAAATTGTTTTTCTAAAACAAAGTAACAAGTATATAACCTACAACTTGTGTGCATCCATCACACACAGCCATGACCACTAGTGCTGATGTGTCCGAGGCTGCAGACACAAAGCAGCCCTTCCTGGAACACTTCCATTCTCCTGGACCACTGTGTCATGCTTTCTCCTCTCCCTTCCAAACCCCAGCTCCTCCTTCCTCAGTGCTTTCTCTCCCCCATCCGAGTTCCTTTGAACTTAGCCACCCCACCTGTGGCTGCTTATGGGCACCACCTGGCCTTGCTCCGATCCAAAGATACTGGTACACCCTCCCCTCTTTACCGCCAGGGGCTCCCGTACTTCAGCAGTTCTCTCCAAGTCCCTTACCATCTGCCTCCTAGGTCATTCCCAATACACACTGCACTGCTACTTCCCCACCTCCCCTTCAGAGCAGAATTCCCAAGAGTTGCCTGTACATGTGTCTCCATTTCCTCCCTTCACATTCTCTCTAGAGCCAGTCAATCAGACTCTGGCTTTTCCACTGACCAAATTGCCCCTATCCAGCCTGCCCTGGCCCCCACAAGCACCTGCCCAGGGCTCACTCCCACCTGCTCCACAGCCAGCCTCCCTCCCTCGCCTTCTTGGCCTGGCTCCTCTCCTGGCCTTGTCTTGCAGAGGTTCTCTGAAGGTGTGCATGATCTCCCTGATGTGGAAGGACCAGGGCCAGGTGCTGGACCTCTTCTCAATCATTCTGAAATACCATCTATGTGCTGATGGCTGATTCACCCTTCAACTCAGACCTCAGACGTGAACTCCAGATAGCCTGCTGGACAGTTCCCCTGGGTATCTAGTCCCAACTGCAAAGTACCGAACTGAACCCGATACCCCACAACCAAGTGCTCCTCCCAGACTTTCCATCTCAATTTATGGTAACACCAGTTGCTTAGACCAAAAACCTTCAGTCCTTGGTTTTTCTCTCTCTCTCATGTTCCATCTGTGGGCAAATTCTCTGAATAAGCATGGGCTCATCTGGAGTCGTGCATTGGCCTTCACAGGGGCCTTCCTGCTCTGCCTTTACACCATAATTATTCCCAATGCCTGGTTAAAAGGCTTTCAGGATCACATCAAACACATGCCAGACTGTCCCTCATTTGTTTAGAGCCCTCTGAAGGCATTCTGCTTACTCAGGATGGCTTTCCCAGAACCCAGAAGCCACCAGCCAGCACCTCACAATGTCCCTCAGGCTCTCCCTGCTGCTCCTCACTCACCCCTATCCAAAGAGACCTCTCGAGTGCAGGTACACCCAGCTCAGGGCCCTTACACGGACACCCGCCTACCCCTCCACCACCTACTGCCAATTCCGTAATTGAATTACACCCATTTAATTACACCCACCACCAGCACCCACCTCCCTGTTCCCTTCCCACTTCTTCGAAAAGCACTTACTGTCCAACTTACTACATGTGCTAAATGTTCATTCCGTTTACATTTGTCTTCCCTACTAGAAGATCAGCTCCATCAGGGCAGGAATTTTCATTTTGCTTCCTGTCTAGCACAGGGTTGGCACATGCTGGCCCTCAATGAACACACATGTGATGAATCTAGTGGAAGAGCCGATTATAGTTACACACAATGCAGAACTATGAAGGTCAGCATTTCAACTTAAAAACCATGGATTAGGTCTTCAAAGTTCTTTCAATTTATGTTTTGATTTCAATAGGAATGTACCATTACTAAGTCACGAAGCTATTTAGTTTATAACTGTGAACTTCATGTGAATTACACTTTCCGCTAACAGTAAAAATACAACAAGCTGCTTGTCAGCCATCAGCAAAAGACACAGCAGCTGTTCATCAGCTGAAATACAGAACTGCAAATTTATTTTTAATTTTTAAATAAACTTTAAGTTTGGACACCCATACAATAAACTCACAAGGTCATTAAAACAGGAATAAAAGAAAAGCTCCTGTGACTGAGCAATAAGCTTAGCTTCAGCAGTAAAGGTTAAAAAAGAGAACACTATAAACTATCAGCTCTCATTATGTAAAAATGGCAGCAAGAAAAAAATAACCAAACGAAGCCTCGCTGTATGGACACAGGGATATCCTCAGTTTCTGTGAAAATGACATCACTTGGATCATCTCATTAGGGATGTCACAACATATGGGACAATTTTCCCATCAGTTTTTTAGGGCGGTCTTCATAGACCAGTTTCTGATACCAACCCTGATGCTGAGTCTGACTTAGATCAGATGATTTCCACAGGAGGTAGAACAATGTAGCCAGGTGTATAACCTCCCAGGGCAGTGACCTGCTCTACTAGACTTATTTATCAGATACACGAAGAGTGGCTAAAGAGAAGCAGTCCACAAGTCATGGGTAAAAAGCTTGGTATACCCTTTTCATTTCTTGGAGGGGCCTTGGAAGTCATCTAGTGCTAACCTAACTTCACTTTACAGATGACAAAAATATAATCTGAATGTATTACTCTGAGGGTTAGAACTGTCCATGAACAAGTACAAGAGGGAGATGGGCCTAAATACACGTCTTTGAATACAATTCTGCAGAAAAGACACTTGGTACAGGAGTGATGAGGAAGGACCATCACCAAGGTCCTATAGCAGGCTCCACATCCCTGGAGCCTTAAAATTAATGAGGCCCCAAAAGCTTGTGCTTGTACAGGTATATGGTTGTATTCTTGACATTACATCACCCACCACGCCCCACCCAAATGTCAAGTCCACAATGCCATAAAAATCGTAACAGTAATTTCCAATCCCATGTGAGGAAGTAGCTAAGTGGTGCCTAGTTAAAAAGCTGAATCTCCAGGAACAGGGAAACCTCCAAGAAACTAAAGAGCATTCCATCTAGTCAAATTTTTTTTATATAAGTAGAGTAATAAAATAATTAATTAAAAGTCGGTATGAAGTAAGCAAAGAAACAAATTTTTATTAAACTGAGATATAGGGGAAAGACTCA